TTTGAAAATTAGAAATTACTCCAAGTAAGAGTAAACTATGACAAAAATTCAAAATAGGAGTTGTTATGTTTTTATTCCAAAATAGGACCATATTACACCGATCGAAAACATACCTACATTTTCATTTCATTCTTACCCTCCTTTAAATATGAGTAAAAAGTAGTCAAAAGTCATAATAAATGTTTAATTCATAATAAATTCTAAAAAAAATCAAAACACGTAGAAAAATCATAATACATAATAAAATAGAAATAATTGGGTGTGTGTACAAGTTTAAATAGGTGTAGTGAATTAATGGCATGTTTTATTTATATAAAAGAAGAAAATCTCCTAAAAATGTGATATGCATTAAATGTTCTTAACAAAATACTCTCGTGCTTATTAGTTTATCCAGTCAAATATGCTATGTATTTAAATTATCAAAAGAGAGGCTATTAATTGAACCTCTCTTATTTATATATGCTATATAGCTATTTAGCCCAATAAAATATTTATAAAATAAAAAATTAATTTATAAAAAAATTAATAAAAAGTATTAAAACTCCATAAAAAAAATTAAAACAAATATGGATGCATTTCCCACCGCCTATACTGCCTCCCTACACCACCACTTCCGACCAGTGTAAAAATGCCATTTTTTCTAAAAACTGTCATTTCTTTCTGAAAATGCCAATAAAATGGCATATTACTTTTTTAGAATGCCAAAATTTTCATTGAATCTTCCATAAATATGGCATTCCTAATACATGTGACATTTTTTCCCGGTGACCGGAGGTGGTGGTGCTGGGACGGCAGAGGCGGCGGTAATTTCATTTTTTTTTTATTTTGTGTTTTTTAAATTTAGATGCCTTTCCCACCGCCAGTACTGCCTCCCTGCACCACCACCCCCTACGGGTGTAAAAATGTCACTTTTTCTAAACAGTGCCATTTTTCTGAAAATGCCAAAAATGGCATATTACTCTTTGAGAATACAACATTTTCATTGAATCTGCCATAAATATGACATTCGCAATGAATGTGGCATTTTCTCCCCTGGTGATTAGAGGTGGTCGTGTAGAGGCGCACGTACCACCGCCTCCCAATGAGCCATCCTGGGTTTTTGCAAAAATTGTGAGAGAATATGAACTGAGTAGCAAATGTCGGGTCTGGTCAAAGTCAAACAAATAAGCTTTCCAACAAGCCTCCGGTAGCGCTCAGGATCAGGATAAATCGGACCAGAATCAGACTGCTGTAGGGTGTGTTTCGGAAAATAAAGAAAATTAATTAAAATAAATTAATTAAAAATGACGAAAGAAAACAAGGAAAGAGATGGAGCAGAATTTAGTCAAAGCTCGTGCTACGCACGATTTCCTTAAAACGTATTTGTTGCCTCCCACGGTGCTAGGAGCGTTGCAACAATCGTTTCCCAGGATACGATGACTACGAACTAGCAGTGTGTTTTTAGAGGTGCAAAAGGTGCTTGGCGTGTATGAATTCGTGTAAACTCATGTGTTGTTGCAAACCACCTGCCAGCCATTATATAGGAGGATTTGTTGTGTGTAAATGGTGAATTAATGGACCTGAACGTTGGACATCAATGACCAGTCCGTTGGGGATTGAACCGTCCATGAACTGTCCATTTAACGCTGCATTAAAACATATAAACGTTGGGCATTTATTGCTGTAACGGTTCAGAAGACCTCCCAACAGAACACCCAACGAGGGTTTCTGTTCGAAGCCAACAGAAGACCCCTGTGAGGGTTTCTGGTCCGCGACCATCAGAAGACCCCGAGGGGTTCTGGTACGCGGCCACCAGAATACCCCAAGAGGGTCTCTGTCCCGCGGCCATCAGAAGACCCCAAGAGGGATTTGTGGGGAAGAAAACAAAAATTACCCGTATCTCTTGAGAGATGGATTTTTGGACGACATTCGTGTCCGCAGGTCGCACGCGCACGCAAGTCACGATTTTTCTTCTCCGATTTCGGGATTTGATTTGCACCCCCCCCCCCTGCGCGCGTGGAGAGAGCCTTTACCCTTAGGAATCTTTACTCCTTAAGGGGGGAGTCCCTTTATAAAGGGTTGCAAATCCCTTGGGTTTTCCGGTGTGAGAAATTAACACACTAGAAACCCATCCTTTTTCCCTTCTAACGGGTAAACTTCGAAAAACAATTTCTCATTCACCCGTTATCCGTTTTGAGCGTACCATATATCGAATTGTAGCCCTAAGAAAGGACAATCCGAAACCACTTTGACCCGACCCAAATCGGAAGTGGACCCCACTCAAAAAATTGCCCCAAAATAGCCATTTAATGCAATTTTTTCACACATTTTTCCAACAACTGCAACTGATGGTTTTGGACCATAGGAAAAGTAACTGGCTTGCATCCAGATAACCCTATCTCAGTTAAGATGTCAAGGACATATTTGCGTTGATAAAGAAAAATTCATGTGGAGTTCCTTGCCACCTCAATCCCTAGGAAATATTTCATGACCCCTAAGTCCTTAACGGGAAATGTGGAAGCGAGATATGTTTTAAACTCCGGGATCATGTGATGGTCATTGTCGGTGATTAACAAATCGTCGACATAGACAAGTACACATAAGATTCGACTACCTTCGCGTTTGGTAAACAAGGAGTAGTTTGCATGAGACTGCGTAAAACCATAGTCGCGTAGTGAGGAAGTGAGTTTAGAAAACCAACATCTTGGCGCCTGTCGAAGTCCAGATAAAGATCGAAGCAAACGACACACCTTGCCGGGTGATGAAGAGGAATATCTCGGCGGTAGATGCATGTATACTTCTTCGTGAAGGTCACCATGAAGGAAGGCATTGGCTTTGTTTGGCAATCGGTTGTTAGTTGTTAGCTGGTTATGATAGCTGGTTGACATTAGCTGATTGTATCAGCTATTTTAGTTGGCTGATTATGTTAGCTGGTTGTCTGTAAATGTTTGGTAAATTAATTGTTTGAGAATAGCTGTTTGCGTGTAAAAAGACATATAAGGACATTAGTATTTTTTTTATTTTTTTTATTGCATACAAAAACAATATTACCTACATTTATTTACAAAGTATAAAATATAAATCATTTTACTTCAATCAAAGGTCAGGGACGAAAAAAAGAAATCAAAAGTGCGTATAAATTTTTCGTTGGAAAAAAGAAACCGAAAATGTGTATAAATTCATTATTGCATGAAAAGAAAATAAATCATTTTGGATGCTTAGTGATATTTGACAACATTTTTTATTAGCTAGGAACGATAATTTAATTGGTTATTCATTACTCATTTAAAGAGGTTTATCCCATCCGTAGTGCACTTAAAGAAGTTGCAACAAATTTAAAGGAAATAAATAAAAATAAAATGAAAAGAAAGGATATGATCGAATAGGCATTTGATAAAGATGTATCGATCAGCCAGAGGGAAACGCTTCCCTCGCTAGCGTTTAGAAGATCGGCGTTTCGAGTGTAACCATCTAGGCCCAACATCTACTTACCAAACACATCTATTTAACAACTTAGCTGGTCAAACCATTTAATAATGGTCAAATAAGCTGAAAATTGGTTGATCAGCCATTAACCAAACATGGCCATTATCTACATCCATCTGATGTAGCTCCCAATGATGGTGTGCAGCGTAACCATCTTAGCTACATGTGCAAATGTCTCTCCGTAATCTATGCCTTCCACCTGGCGGTTCCCATAAACAACCAGTCGTGCTTTATAACGCTCCACTGTCCCGTCACTGTTGTACTTTACCTTATACACCCACTTGCAATAAATAGCTCTCTTCCTAGGCGGTAAGTCTCGAATTTCTCATGTACCTGTACGTTTAAGAGCCTGAATTTCACAACTCATTGCCTCCCTCTATTGGGGATCACGAACAGCCTCTCCAAAGGTATTGGGCTCCTTAGTCATAGTAATAGCTGCAAGAAAAGTTCGGTGCGGAACCCAAAATTGATCATATTTTATATAATGAGATAGTGAATAAGGATTACCGTAATCTGCCGTGGGAGTTGGTGCATCAACGGGGGAGAGTGTATTTTTACCGTGTTTAACCGCACTTCATAGTCCTGATGCCACGTCAGAACCCTGCGTGTAAGTGCACTTCTACGAGTCTAGTCAATATCATGAGTACTCTCCATGCTGCTGCCAGGCGCATCCACCCCAGTGGCAGCCCGTGTCTCCATACTTTGGTCTTCTTCCTGTTGTGTAGAGTCAAAAACCACTCCTCTGCCAGAACGAACCTTCACATCACACGTGTTGGGAACTACCTTGTCATCAAATGTACGTGCATGTTCCTCCCATGCACGCATATCATTCCCAGCATGTGTGTCAGGATCCACCGGTGGTTCCCCCAATTGAAAGGGAAATTCATTTTCAACAAATTTTACATCCCGCGAGAGAAAATGTCTCCTGTTCTGCAAATCGAAAACCTTCCAGCCCTTTTGGGAGTAAGCGTATCCCAAAAAACACATTGTACTCCTCGTGGACCGAATTTATCTCCTCCATTGTTGGGTACGTACATGTGCATGGCAAAGACAACCAAAAACTCGCAGTTGACTATAAGCCAGTATTTTGTTATATAGTAACTCATAAGGGCTTTTATTGTCTATTACTGGAGAGGGCAACCGATTGATTAAATATCCCGCCGTTAACACACACTCACCCCAAAAATTGATGGGTAAGTTTGCGTGAAAGCGGAGAGTTCTAGCCACTTCCAAAATATGTTTGTGCTTCCGTTCAACCCTACCATTCTGTTGAGGGGTGTACGCACAACTTGTTTGAAAAATTATCCCATTAGTCAAAAAATATTCTTGGAGACTAACAAATTCCTTGCCATTATCACTTCTCAAAACTTTTACATTTTTATTTAACTGTCGAATAGTCATGGCTAAGAATTGTTTCAAAATATTTTTGACTTCACTCTTGTCACGCATTAAATGCACTCAAACCGCTCTAGAATAATCATCCACTACAGTAAAAAAACATCGAGCACCACAAGAAGACATAACACGATAAGAACCCCAAATGTCACAGCGTATTAACTCAAATGGTTCAACAACTCTACCGTTTTTTTTGTCCCGAGAAACCACAAATTTTGGCGGGGTAAATGTCAGGAGACATTACCTGATTTATTAAATTAAAAGTATTTACAAGCATCAAACTGGATTTGAAAAGGGCTAAAGGGGTAGGCACAAAACACCGAATGGACAAGGAAAATAAAATAAAATTAAGCAATGGTGGGCCTGCTCGATCCTCCCGTGCGAATAGCTCCAAGCCTGATCTAATGTCAAACATAATAGGGCCAAAGGAGGGTGAGGGTATAGTCAGTACGGTTTCAAAAACATGCATAGGTTCTTGAAAGAGACACGGTGGGGGTGCTTTCCTTCATCGAAACATCTTCTTCGATCATCCGGCATATCGGAAGAGGGTAGAACCATTCTTGTCTTCAAAGTAGGCTCTCCTAGCTCTGGAGGGGAGATCATTTAGTGCATAGGATTGCATGGACTGGAGGAGAAGACCCGACCTGGCGATATGGTGAGCACAGGCGTTCGTTTCCCTCAGACGATAGCAAAAGTGGATGTCGTGCCTTAACCTGAGTCGATTGATATTCACCATAGGTCTTGCCAGATAATCAAGTACTTTAAAAAATCCATGTAGCATTCTTACGCTGATTTCTGAATCTGTCTGAACAGTAAACGATTTATAACCTGTGTTAATCATTGCTTCTATGGAGGATTCAATGGTCAAAATTTCTGCCTGGAGAGGGTTAATGGCTGACAAAGGGAAGGCTACTGCATGAATAAAGGTTCCATCTGGAGTTCTCAAGATCGCTCCACCTCCACTTTGTTGGACGAAGAAAGTTGCATCCGTGTTCAAAGTAAGCTCTTGATTCCCATATATTTTCCATTTCAGTGCGATTTGTTTCAAAGGCAATATGCCGTCACAGTGAAGTTCCTCGTCAAATTGAATGCATTTCTTATGCTGATTGTTGTAGACCCATTGTCTGGTGTAGTCCTTGATTGTGTTGATTGTATATGTTCTTGAAAAAGTTTTTGCATCCCATACACATGCATTATAGGCTTTCCATATATGCCAAAGAATGATGCCTGGCATGGACTGTCTTAACGTGTCTCGTGAGTTGTTGCCCTTTCCCCCCAGCCACCACATAAGGACTGTATGTCTTAAGTCCTTGTGGTCAGTCGTTCTAACCTGCAAAATTCCAGAAAAATAGACACAAATAGGCCTTATGTTAGAGCATGTGAATAAAACATGATTTTGGGTATCCTAGTCTGCACAACAGAATGGACATCTTGAGGGTAGCTGGAGATTGAAGCGCCTAAGGTTGTCAGGGAATGGAAGAGAGTGGTTTAGGAGTTTCTAAATGAATACATTAATCTTCAGTTGCATGAGGGGTTTCCAGGTTTGGGTAAGGCTGAATGTAGTAGGGTGGTGGATTCGGGATTGATGGTATGCACTAGTGAGAGTGAATTGACCGTCCTTTTCTGGTGTCCAGATTGGTTGAGTGATTGACAGAAGGATTAAGTCATGATGTTTGCTAGCTGTGAGGCAAATTTGTTTCCAAGTGCTTGAATCGGTAGCATTTGCTGTCATGTTTCCTTGTCTATGGTATCTGTCATGCATATAGTTTGCCCAAATGGTTTCCCATGCAAAAATTGTGGCTTGATCTCTTCCTCTTCTTCGGAATCGTTAAGAGCCTCTCAGGAGTTCTTCGGAGCTTTGTTGCAGCGTTTCTTCATCTGAAAGTTCTCTCCTTTTCTCTCAACTGAGACCCGTATTTATAGGTGTGGAGGGGGTGAAAATATGGCTTAGGGTTGCAGAAATTCATCCATACCCCATGGGCCTTAATTAAAATGGGCTTCGGACTCTATTTTCTTGCATTTCAATAGCTAGAAAAATCAGTATTTATGCAAGGTTCATAGCCATTTTCCATGCATATGGAAGGATTTCTTAGCTAGATTCGTTGCCTTCTTTATCAACTGGATCATGACTCTTATATATTGGGCCGCTATTTGATAATGGTCTCAAAATTAATAGCACCGGTCCATTCTTTTAAAGATTTAATTTATAATTAAATTAATTGGATATTTTTTAATAACCCAAATTAATTCAATTATTAAATTTTATCCGAATGGACCATAATAATATTTTGATAAGGACTAACAACCCTCACGAGCAGCCTAGTAGAATTGACGTTGGCTCAATATCAGTCAAAAGAGGCCCAAGATGATTGAGAATAATGTGGTAGATTTTAAAGAGGTCCGGTAATCATCACAACTGGCCCAATAATTTTTAAATGTCCACAAGGTTTTCCTATCAATTCAAACCCTATGATTGCTTGATTTGCCTCTCTGTCTATACAACTACTGATACACATGGGTCACTGGCCTTGCCAGTACTAAGAAGCAAAGTTCTCAAGCCAAACATAACAATGCAGTTAACATCAATTGCGATGTGCGCTTTGAACCTTGCGATGTTAGGAGTTTGAAATTGATTTCTATGATCAATGCTAAAACTCTTCCCAAACGTTCTCGTTTATGCAAGAAAGATGGTTCGATTTTCATGCATGTGTTCTTGTGAAGGATTGTGATGAAGATCATAAGGCTTCTGCATAATTTAGAAAAATCTCAGGACCTTTAATTTGAGGGATTAAATTGCAAATAATAGAAATAATATGACATGACTACTTGCTTTAATTTGATTGGTTAAAAATAGGAATGTACCGTAACACGCTAAATTTTAAAGTGCACCATAGATGAACCCTTTATTTTTTGGGGCCACGGCCTGCACTATGGTCCGCCCGTGAGCATTATTTTTGTTGGGTAACCGTTTATAGGAACTGCAAAATTTCGTGGCACATGCTTCGGACTGATTGCCAGGCTGCAATTGATGCTACGTTTTTTTTACCCTTTTTCCCATTGGAGGAGGCAATGGGCATTTATGCTATATCTGTCATGATTTTGTATGATTGGACGAAAAAAATTCACCAGGATTGTACTTCTTGAGTCTTTGTGTGAGCCCTTATATTTATTTCATCCTTCCCAATTTTCTATTTTCTTTTCTTTTTGGATTACCTCAAAGATAAGTGTAGTTATACTTTTTATTTTTAAAAAAAACACACGTAATTCATAGATATAAATGTAAATGCATATTCACAATTGGGTTTTGACATTTTCAGACTCGGACCATAGAAAGTACCAATTTTACTCAATAAGATCACAATTGTCCAAAATACAACCACTCTATCATGAACACTAATTGGAAATTGATCATGATATACTTAGAGCCCGTTTGGTAACATTCAAATCGCCTGAATCGCCTAATTTTGCTGAAAGTTGTGAAGTTTTGGATGAATTGGCTGAATTGGCTGATTCTGCTAATATATGAAAAAATTATATTTAAAATAGACTTCGTATTTTATATAAAAATAATAATGAAAAAATTACATGAAAATATAGTTAAATTGGTCTTCTACAATAACTTCAGCCAATACTACAAAAAAATAACTTCAATCTTACTATTTTTTATTATTACACAATTTATCGCGCGAAATCAAAAGTTACATGTTTGAAGAAAAAACTGGTTGATAAGACCAAAACAAGGTCACCAAATGGGCTCTAATATATAGATAGAATATTAATATCCACACTTGTGTTTGACATTTTTTAGACTCGATTCATATAAAACCCTAATTCAGCCTAATAAGGTCACAATCATCCGAAATGCAATTGAGTTATATCATGAACATGAAATCTAAAATTGATCATGAGTTACTTAATTTATAAACAAAATATGTTTATTCACACATGTGTTTGACATTCCTTAGACTCGGTTCTGAGAAAATCCCTATTTAACCTAATAAGGCCACAACGATCCGAAATGCAATTGGACTATATCATGAACATGAATTGTAAAATCTATCATGCTTTACTTAATACATGGATAGAATATGATTATTCACGCTTGTGTTTGAGAGTTTTAGACTCGGGGTTATAGAAAATACCAATTCGACCTAATATGGCTGCGCTACAACCATCTCAAATGCAATTAACTATATATATACGGAGTATACATATATATGTATATGTATGTGTGTGTATATATATATATATATCATAAACGTGAATTGTAAAAATTTATACTACCTCCGTCCCGAATTGATTTGCAAATTTGACTCTTCTTGGTCAAACAGTTGCGTTTTGTTCACTTAATTAGGATGCCAATTTTTAATTATATTCTAATTTGGAGTTTACAACTTTGAAGAGATTTTGATGTAGTTTATGAATATGTAAATTTTATTTATTACGGAGTAAAAATTAAATTAATTATGCATCAGAAGGGTTGACTTTTATTATTAGTTGAACAAAAAATGTTGACTTTGCAAAACAAATTGGGACGGATGGAGTATTAATCATGAGTTACTTCATACAATATATAGGTAGAATAGGTTTATACACACTTGCGTTTGAGATTCCTTAAACTCGGGGGCGCACCATTTTTATGATATAGTAGTTGGATTGCGTTTAAGGAAGGGGTGTTTGGATCTGATTCTCAAAATTATTCTGCTCCTTCAGGGAGTAGAAGCAGAAGCTAGAGTGTTTGGGTGAAATTGAAGAACCACTTCTGGAGCTCTAATTTACTCTCAGAATCAATTTTTTTAGAAGCTGGGAGGTATCAGCTTCTGAAAACTGATTTTGATTCTGCTTCTACTTTTAAAAAAGAAGCAGAAGCAGAATCAGTTTCAAACACCCCTAATTCATATAGTTGTGGCGTTATTGGGTCTAATTGGGATTTTCTATGACTGAGTCTGTGAATCTAAAAAATAAGTGTGAATATTTTATATCTATAGATTAAGTAACTAATGATCAAACACATTAGTTACTTAATGAAAAAATTACATGATTGAAGTTGAAGTTACTTTTTGATTGTATTAGATGAAGTTATTGTAGAAGATCAATTTAGCTATATTTTCATGTAATTTTTTCATTATTTTTTATAAAATATATTTTAATTCACGCTTATTTTAAAAAATAATTTTTTCATTATTTTTTATAAAATATAGTCCAATTGGGTTTTGGATGGTTGTAGTTTTTTGGATCGAATTGGGATTTTCTGTCACTTGAATCTAAAAAATGTCAAACACAAGTGTGAACATTTATATTATATCAATATATTTGGTAAATCATGATCAATTTTTGTTTGTGATATGGTCCAATTTATTTCTAATAGTTATGGCCTTATTGGGTAGAATTTGGGTTTTCATGACCTGAGTCTAAAAAATAAGTAGTATCAATTATCAAACACAACTATAAATAATTCCCTTGTGTGTGTTGTGTGTGTGTTGTGTTGTGTGCGGTGTGTTGTGTGTTGCGTGTGCAGCGGCGGACCCACTCAGGGTCTCATGAGGTCCCGGGATCCCATGTACTTCCAAAAAATACCTATATATATTTATATTTTTTATACTACGTATAAATTAATAAGAGAATGTATATATAAAAGGAAAACTGGATAACAACATAAAGATTGTATTGGAGCAACGGACGCATTATCGATTTTACAAACATACTTCACCCAGGTGTACTTGGGTTCGATTCACACTGACGTCCAATTTTTGTGACTTAATTGTCATGGCTAACACAAAAACTTACTATTTTTTTTCAAAATAGGACTTATGACTTAATGTTATGTTTTCCCTAAATAGGACTAACCTTACCCTTTTTACCCCTAATTCTATTTAATTAATTGATCTAAATAATTGTCGTCGTCCTCCCTTTCCTTGCACAACCAAGGCAGTCCATCGGTGGCGGGGCGGCGACAGATTCCGGCGGTGGCGGCAGAATTGTTGGCAGAAGTCCAGAAAAAAATTCTGGAAATTTTTCCAGCGTGGTCTCCGGAGCTCCGGCGGAGGCCGATGGCCGGCAGCAGGCAGTTGGCAGCAGTCCAGGGGCATCAATAGGGGTATTTTGGTACAATCACACATAAAAAGTCATATTTAAGAATGTTTAAACTAAGTGATCTTATTTTGAGAAAAATGTTCTGTTTTACCCCTATTACGGTAAACCCCCTTTTTGCTTTTCCTTTGAAGTTTTTTAGCAATGTATACTCCAAATTACCGAACACAACTAGTTAAGGAGGTAAATATTTCACCGGAGTGCTGGACCTGAGGGTATTATACATGTTTTTAAACTTCACACTTTACATAGTTCCAGACACCCAAGTTTACTTTTTGCACGTAAAAATATTCATACCGGGAATTAACATATGATGACAACACATGCATAAACTTTGAAATTCATCGCATTTATTCTCCAAACTAATTAGTTACATGCATTATCAATCTTTGCCATCCTTTTAGGTTCCATCTGTTATTGTGATGAGCTCCATGGTCTTATTAACCTTTTTAGCAGCCCCTGTAACAGGTGGACCAAGGCAAATGCAACGTTTCAATATCCGATGGCATGTACAACCTGGGTTGCAATCGCTTTCCTTCTTACATTTATAGGCAACGTTCATTGCTTCATGTACTGGGAATTGACCTACACTCATATACAATTCATATAATCATATATAAGGATCTTATATGAAAACCGAAAATTTGAATATTTCCTACAACATAGAAATTCATATGTTTTTACTATGTTTATGTTAGTCATATTTATGGCAATAAATATGAATATAGTTTAAAAGTTACGAAGACATTGATTCTAGTTTATGACACTAAAAGTTAGATAAATCTGTGAGTATGGCACAAATTTTAGTTTTGAATGTTATTCACTATTAAAAGTTGTCCTCATTAACCGACCCCGGCCACAAAATTGCTTGCAAAGGTAAGAGCTAATTTGACTATATTAAAATCAATGTCTT